AACTTTTTTTCTTATAATATAAAATTAAATACTACTATAATATAATCCTTATTTTCAAATATTATCAAAAAAAATTTAGGCCATGCAAACAAATAAAGTTGGTTCTCGTTACCCGGTCAGGTAACTTTTTTAGTAAAGTTAAAATTTTTTTTCTATATAAAATTTTTTATTCTTGTATGAAAAAAAAATTTTATAAATTTTTTTTTTATATGAAAAAAATTTGTAAATATAACATTTTTTGCCGGCCAGCCAGGTCCTATTTGCTTATCGCATGTAATGAGAACAAACTAATTTAATTTGCATGGCCTTATATAAATATTTTAAAATTTAAAAAAAGCAAATCATAAGCAAATTTATAGTAATTTTCTAGACAAATTTGTTTGGAATTGCTCTACAGTTTAAAAAATAATACTTTGTATAATAGTGAATTTGTAGATCTTTATATTTGCACCTTTAACCCCAAATATCTTGGGACCCATCAGGCCAATTTTAATGATTCTTCTTGAAGATTAATATTAATTAAATCAAAAATATCAGTTAGAGATGTGCCATTGCTTTCTATTTGAAGATCAGTAGAAGAAGAAAATGATATAACCACTATTAAAACCAGAAAATTCTTCTCTGCAACTTAACTTAAAGCTGGAAGAAAGGTTTACTTGTTAGTTTTAGAGTTAGAGTTAGAGTAATATTAAACTTAATTATATATTATTATCTAAAAATAGAAAATCTTGTGTAACAATAATGAAAATAGCAAAACCTGTTGTGGAAATAGTAGTTCCCTATAAATATTTAATATTCTTTATATTTATAAATTAATTTAGTACAAATAAAGTAAATATACTGAGGCCATTATATCTAATTTTAGATTTAACTAATTAATTAGATAATTTTAAATTCATATATATGAATATTCAATGAATTATTTGGTGAATAAATTAAATATTCGAATATTCATTTGGTAAAAAAATCTTATTCGTGTATTCGAATATTCAGTAAATATTCAAATATACTATTTATCGGATCAGTTCTTTAATTAAGAGACTAAAATGCTTACGTCATACATGATGAAATTAGTAGAATAGATTAGTCGCGCAACCAAATTTTGGCAGATCGGCCAAAATTTAGGGTCAGAATAGGCTGGAGCTAGATTAGCATTAAGCATAGCATTAGCTAACTATATTAAACAAAATTAACAAACTTTATTTAATAATATTTATGCTACCAATTTATTGGTGAAAATTTTGGTGAATTTAGAAAAAAAATTTATCAATTCTGGCTATTCCGAACCTCGATCTGCTAAATTTTGGTTGTTAATCTACTCTGACGAAGTATATACTAAGTATATGCTTCTGTTATCAAAAAACATTTACAATAATTAGCTAATATTTATTGATTAAAGCAATTTCAAACTTTACAAATACTTTTTATGTATATTTCTTTTATATCTAATTATGCGCCGTTAATTAATTTTTACATATAGCAAACTTATGGAGTAAATCATTCATTATTGGCATCGAGTTGGGACTTCCGCTATTATGCCTCTTGTGATAGATGACAAATCGTGTTCACCAAACGTGAGTAATTGTCTTCAAACATGATTATTGATTAGTTTAGACGTTAAAATATTCATGATTTTCATTTTAAAGTATCATGGTGCAAAAGAAAAAAAGACAACAATATACAGTACTCAATTTCTTGACCATCTTTGTGTTTACTCTAATGATAATAGATCTTGTATTGGATATTTTATTTATTTTTCTTGGAAAGGATGAAAAATGGATTTTTCTTGTCAGGTTTTTATTTTCAGCAATAATATATGTATATTGAACTTGTGAATTACAATTAATAAAAGTTTTTTTCAGTGTTACTTTTCTGATGGTTTCCATTGGCTTCAGTACTCTATTTGCATTTTTAATTATTAGTCGCAAACTTAGAGAGAATCCACGATATAAAAATTGGTGGCAGGCGCATTACTACACTGCACTAGTTTTAACACTTTTATCTGTAATTGATAATGAAGCTTTGAATGTAGCATCTTCACAAGTTATACACTTTACTCACTGAGAGCTGATAAACAGATTTTCTATGCTGTTGTTTTTAATTTAATTATCAAAGATGTACCTCAATTAATATTTTTTGTAAAAAATTTAAAAGATATTATGTATAATCTGTGGTGTCTTGTTAGTGATATAACCAATATATTAATTATATAGGTTATTTATCAGAAAGTAATTATCATCCTGGTAATTATTCCTATCCTTGCACTTTCGTCATGCGCGACCCTCATATTTATTAGAGTCATGACAACAATATATCTTGGATTCTTCTATTGTCAAGAATTAAAATACGATCAAGTATATAATGAAGAAGACAATATAGAAGGAATTACTCTATCTATTCTCGCAAATAATAATTTTTTTTTTCTCAAATACTTTTAATCAAATCTTTAAAATTTAAACTTTTTATTTATACATAACACTTTATTATGTTAGGCAACCATAGATGATATGGACAGGTCGGCTCATTGATAATACAAAAAGTATGAAAGTGCATTAATTTATCTGAAAAAAAAAAAATCATTTGAGTACTAGAGTCAGAAATATTTTTAAGTGAAAAATTGTCAATAATTGGAAATAATTCGATGTATATATTTAAAATTACTAGCTCATATGTATTTAGAATCAAAATACTTTAATATCACTCATTTACAATAATCTACAATTTTCTAGTTTATTTGATAAAATAATTTGGTTTAACGTAACAAGCATTTATAGCTCTAGTCGAATCAAGTTGTCTCAACTCAAGAGAAATGTCTTCCAAGAACATAGTATCGGCAAAATAAAATCATTATTTACAGTAATAGTGATAAATTTAAGATCAATAATTTTTGCAGCAGAATACTAAAAATTTTGAAGTATTATCTAAATTGCAGTTGATATAGTTAGTTTAATTGGGTTCAATCTAAAAAATGGCCAAATTTGTTATATATTTTGAAATAAATTCCAAAAAATCTTATATGAATAATTTAAAAAAGTATTTTTTTCTATAGTTTTCTGATACAAGCAAACCGATAAGAAACAGAAAAACGAAGAAAATACAATGAAATATTATATTTATAACATTATAACATTATCAATTTGTTGCAACGGTTCATATCGCAAATAGAACAACATAGCCCATTCCATTTTTTTTTTTTTCATCCTCATCAGCGTAGCATTTCATGAATATCATGAACAAAAGTTGAGAATTCTTTAGAATCAGATTTTGCCTGTATCATAATCTCAAACCATTTATAATTGTAATCCTTGAATATTGACATATATATAATATATATATACTAATGTTCCTAATAATCCGGATCCGACGGATTCGGATTATCATCCAATCCCGAACCGTAAAATCGGTTTGGGGCCAAAAGTTTCGGATTACCCGGATTAAGCCTAATTTTGAGATTTGGATTCAGCTTTTTCTTTCACATTGCACTAATATATAAATTCCATATTAAAATATTTATCCATTAAATACTTCAGATTGGCTCCGGATTCAAACCGAAATTTCGGGTTCAGTTCAATCCTGGATCAACCCAAAGTTTGATAATCTTTCTATGAACTTCTCATCACCCAGGCACACTGGGTTAATCATGCCTTATTAATAATAATTACTAAATACCCAACTGATGATTTTTATAAAAAAATCAAATATATCAAATCAATGAACTCACTTTATCGTCTTCCAAGAGAAGTCCTCTCAAGGGTCACTATCAAAACTAGTCTGTACAACCACAACATTTTTTTTTTTTTTATATTCAAATTCAGGAAATATAGAAAGAGTTTGTTCTGGTTCTGCTTTCGGATGTTTAAGTTTCTTAAGAAATTTTGGATTATTTGCGAAACTAACGGATTTCTCAATATCGGTAATTTATTCTTCGTGACTTTGTTCTAAATTCATCTGATTAACTTTTAAAGTGGCATGCTGCAAAATATTTAAACGTGAACATTTTATATTTAATCATAAAAAAATAAAATAAAAAAATAAAACATAAATACACACCGACTTTCCATGGTTTTATCAAATGTTATCACCCGATGTACGGTTTAGATGCACTTATATACTGCGTCATACACAGCCATGGTTTAAGACCATTTGAATACCGTAAAGTGCCATACGATATATCCCCCTATGAGTTGTACCCGGGGGTATTCTGCGGATAAGAATTTTATTTATATCCGGATGCTATTCATATTATATATCGAATAATAGCATACCGTATAACCGCGAAATAACGCACAGGGGCGTTATTTTGAGGTTTGGCCCGAATTAAGCTTAATTTAGGCCGAAAATTGAAATTACACCCCTGCGCGTTATTTTGCGGTTATACGGTATTTACGCTTTGAAGAATATCTAGCTGGTGTAAAACATTGAAGACTGGTAAAGTTGAACGAGAAATATACAGCGGGTATATCACTAGTCTTTGTAAATACCCAGATACATCGGTTGGTACCTTTTAAACCCATAATCACATTTGCATGATCTTTAGGTGGAATGATTAAACAAGTATCTTTAGGATCGAGATGACCTATATTTCTGGAATTTATGTCTACAAATCAAAATTATCTGTTAATAATACTGTATAAAAACGCTAATTTAAAAGTTTTTGACATAATGAATTTTAACTAACCATAATATTCGTAAAATGCACTAGGAACAGTGCTTAAATCACTATAAAATATAATTACTAGAAATGTTACACTGCAATTCCATAGTTATTATTATCATTCTTGGTATCGACACAGGTATCGCTGCATAACACTTTATCAGAGCAGCCAGTAGTATACATTGACAAATTTGACCGCCGTTTAAGTCTAAATTATGGTCACTGAGTAGAGGAGGACGGTTTGATTGAAAAATACATTAAGTCCGATTGATATCAATTATTCTTTCTACAGTAGATCGGGTTTCCAGTGAAGGATCAATGGGTGGAGGAATCAAGTGCCGAGACCCTATCTAACATAAATAACGATAATCCGTACGGACTGTTCTTTTCTGAACATTATGACTTTTACAAATCAGTTATACACAAGCGGAAATGAATTTCCGTGGCATCCAGTGTAAAAAAAAAAAAAAATGAGATCTGCGTTAGATTTAAAATTTTCACCTTCACGCAGTGTTGGGTTCGGACGTTGTCCCATTAAAATTGCAGGGACACGGACAGTCCCGGGCAATGTCCCATATCCATGATGGTGTCTAATACCATATTGTACACAAGGGCTTATCAAACGATCTGATTGGCTATCAAAGCAGCCCTTATTGTAATTTTATTGTCCGGGACGTTAACATTTTGGCGGACATGTCCGGGACGTCCCATCCCGGACTGTCAGTTGTCCGTGTCCCTGTCCCGACACAACACTGCCTTCACGTGATCTACAAGCCACAAGCTTTTTATTTAATCCCATTTTCTTTCGTGTAATTTTGATACATGTCATATTACTACAAATGCTAATAAAAGGAAAGATGTAAAAAAAAACAAAAAAGCAAATGATACGTAATATTGAAAAAAAATAAATGTTCATCTTTTGCCCCCGCCAAATCAGTATACCAATATATGAAAATGCATCATAATATAGTCCTGAATATAAAAATCCATTTTGTCTGATTTTTTAGAACTTTTAACTGAGTCTTTTACATTGTTGTGCAACTATTTAAATTATAAGCTTATTCTAAAGGGAAAGCTTCTTGGCGCCGGGTAACTTTTGCAGTTTTTTATTCGGGAAAATAGTTGTGTGCGGAACAATAGTATTCTTTCTACAAAACAGTGTAATAAAATTAAAATAATTTAAAATTGTTAATGAAATTAAAAAAAGCCAAAAAAAAAAGTATAACTTACATACAATAAATTAATTTAAAAACCGAGTATTATATGTATATTCAGTCCATTGTTAATGGCACAGTCCTTTTTCGACACTAACTTTCAACTTGATGAACCATAGTATTAATAGCGTTAAAATTCTTTTGAATACTTTGGTCGCTCTCAAGCGTCAATCTCAATGTGATTAGCAAGTGATCGTAATAGTGCTCAAGCATAATTATATTTACA